CCTCAGCAAGTTTGCCGACGACACCAAGCTGTGTGGTGCAGTTGACGTGCTAGAGGGAAGGGATGCCATCCAGAGGGACCTGGACAGGCTTGAGAGGTGGGCCTCATGAAGTTCAACAAAGCCAAATGCAAGGTCCTGCACATGGGTCAAGGCAATCCCAAACACAAATACAGGCCGGGCAGAGAATGGATTGAGAGCAGTCCTGAGAAGGACTTGGAGGTGTCAGCACATGAAAAACTGAACACGAGCTAGCAGTGTGCACTCACTGCCCAGAAACCCAACCAGATCCTGGGCTGCATCAAGAAAAGGGTGGCCAGCAGGTCAAGGGAGGCAATTCTGCCCCTCTACTCTGCTCTCGTGAGACCCCACCTGGAGTACTGCATCCAGCTCCAGGCCCCCCAATGCAAGAAGGACTTTGAGCTGTTGGAGCAGGTCCAGAGAAGAGCCACAAAGACAATCAGAGGTCTGGAAAACCTCCACTACGAGGACAGGCCGAGAGAGTTGGGGTTGTTCAGCCTGGAGAAGAGAAGGCTCTCGGGGGACCTTATAGCAGCCTTCCAGTACCTGAAGGGGGCCTACAGGAAAGCTGGGGAGGGACTTTTTACAAGGGCATACAGTGACAGGATGAGGGGTAATGGATTTAAACTGGAAGAGGGCAGATTTAGACTAAATATCAGAAAGAAATTTTTCACTGTGAGGGTGGTTAGACACTGGAACAGGTCCCCCTTATTGCTGGGCTTAACTTCCCTCCCAATTTCTCTACCTCCTCCCCCACAGCAGCACAGTGGGACAGTGAATGGGGGCTGTGTTCAGTTCACCACATGTTCTCACTGCCACTTCTTCCTCCTCAGGGGGAGGACTCCTCAACACCCTTCCTCTGCTCCAGCATGGGGTACCTCCCATGGGAGAGGACAAATTTCTCCCACAAACTTCTTGAAAGTGAGTCCTTCCCACAGGCTGCAGTTCTTCACAAACTGCTCCAGCGTGGGTCCCCTCCCTGGGGTGCAGTCCTTCAGGAATAGACTGTTCCAGCGTGGGTCCTCCACGGGGTCAGAAGTCCTGCCAACAAACCTGCTCCAGCATGGGCGCCTCTCTCCACAGCTCCATAGGTCCTGCCAGCAGCCTGCTCCAGCATAGGCTTCCCACAGGGTCACAGCCTCATTTGGGCACACCTGCCTTCCCCAGTGTCGTGTTCTCCACAGGCTGCAGGTGATCTGTTCCACCACTGGCCTCCATGGTGGCACACCTGCCTCACCATGGTCCTTAAGATCCTGAACCCCACTATCTCCTGGTCCCTAGAGCCAAGGCTGCCTTCAGTCTTCACATCTGCAACAAGTCCTTCCTTGTCCATGAGTATGAAGTCCAGCAGACAGCTTCAGTCAGGAACTTGTCACTGATGTTCTCCAGAGATGTTCTTGGATTGCTTATGCCTGCTGCTCTCCTGCAGCCTTAGGTTAAGCTACGACTCAGATGCCATCCTGAACTCATTTCATGGTCAAATCCAAATTCTACTTATCATGTCAAGGTACTGCTTTAAAATCAAGCCAGATGCTCTGTCAAGCGAAACAGAAGGAAACTTCAGTATATCTGTTGCTAGAGGTAATATTACATTAGAGACATACCTACAATTTAGCAAAATAACTATTAGCTTACAAACTCCACCAAATCAATCACTCTTGTATTACTAATCAAATATTCTCCCCACAGCTTGGATATGGGAGAAGGTAGGCATTAGGAATTGTCTTATGAGGAGGAATAAAACTAAGAGAAGGAAAGGGAAGTAAAGTGATACCTTCAAGACAGGAGCAGAAGAAGAGTGGTGAGAGAGAAGCAAGACAAAATTTGTATGCACTCCTTCCAAACCTTGGCTTTTCTCTATTAAATAGCAGATTCCATTGACAGTACTGAAGTGAGATGTGTTTTATGACCCATTATAAACATTAAATCACACACTTTTCTTTGAAACGTCTTGAAATCAGGAGCATTTATTTCCTCCTAGTTTCTAGATCAGTCCATGTAGGGGTTTCATATGTCTTCCCCATCTGTCCGTCTAAATATTTCAAATTTTTCACAGGATAGCCATTCACAACCCAAGCTGGCATTACATTCATGCTAACTCACCAGGAGAACAGCTCTCTTAAAATAACATAATAAAAAATAAATAATCACTTCTCAATTAAACTTCATAAACAATCATAACCCTTCAGTGTTCATAATCAATTCATTAATCAGTTTAACAACTGCAGCTAGTGAGACTGGTGCTTTATTATTGACACTATAAACCCTTCCAAGAATATTAATTTTCATTCAAGTCCAGATGACCTCCTAGCAACAAAAAGACAGAACCTTGAACATGTACCCAATAGTGTTTACGTTGTTAACATAAATAATGATCCTTACAATCTGTTCCTTGATGAAATGCTTTTTCTTGAGTCACCTATATTGTCTTCTCCTATAAAGCACTGTAATTACATGTAACAGCAATTAAAATGCATACAGCACAGAATAATATTTCAAGCAAATATTTAGCTATCAAATTTATTTTCTCTAAAGCTCTATACAGTGTACAGAACACTTGTTCATCCAGGTTATTTCCTAAGTCATAAAGATTTAATATGTGCTCAGAACTGTCAAATAACCATAAATGCATTATAAATACACAACAGACATTCAGGAATAATCCAAATACCACAAGAGTAAACTCTGAATCATTGACTTGCAGCATAGCAGCACTTCTCACTAATTTTGATGGCCCAAGTACACGTATATATCACATTTTCATTAAGTTACGGGTGTTTTTCTACCTAGAATTCTGCCAGATAGTAACATTTCTGTATTAAATGCAATATCTATAACACACAGTTTTCTGCAAAATGCACTTTGTAAAAAGTAAGCGTTTGGTTTTGTTTATTGTAAATAGGTTGTTACGAAAAATTAATCCCACCATCCCCTTTCTGCTGTTTACTACCTCTATTCATCTCCTTTCCTCAAATAATGACAACCCTGAAGCAAACTGAACAAAGACATAAGAACAACCTCCAATTCCAAACAGAACTAAAGACCCTTTCCTATCACTGTCTTTAAGTGCAAGACATGAAAAATATTAGTTGTGCAAGTACACCATCTGCTGGCCAAAAATTAAGTTCGGCAAAAATATTCTGTGAGAAAACATTTGGTCAGTGGCATCCATAACTTTCTTACCAACAGTTTGGTATCAGGGGTATTTCCCTTTCTTCCTCTAAGCCCCACTCAGCTGTACACTGTGACATGGCTGTCACATTAACTGTTCTGTTTGCTGACACTCCTTCCCCAATGTCTATTCCTTTCACTAACATTTCTCCTTTGTTATCTTTTTAAATAGTACTCATTTAATCATAGCCATTGAGGGGTTTTTATTCCATCTATTACTGTTTTCTTCCCCACTCCTTTATTCTTCACTCCCTGCAACTTTCAGTGCTTTCTTTGTCTCCTTGTCCTATGCACCTACAATCTGAGTTAGGATTGCTGAATGCTACACTTCTCACTTCATCCTTTGCTTTTTTAACCCTTCCTCAGCCTCCCAATCTCATGAGACTGTAACTCCACGAGAAAGAAATCTCTGACCATCTCTTTTACGAGTCAGCACTTCAAAATTAGATATTACTGCACTCTCTTTTCTTTGTAAATGTTGCTTATACAACAGGAACCTTAAGATACTAAAGACCAAAGAAAACAAAATCAAAACCAAGTGTACACTTGTAAAAAGCAACGCCAGAAGGCATTATCTGACAACATTAAAGAAAAAAAAAATTAGAGAAGAAAAAGGACAAGCTTCTATTTCTTCAAAGAAACACTGCTTTCCTGTGCCACATTTTGGTCTCCACAAAGCAACAGCCACATAGAATGCCTCTTCGCCAAAACACTCCAAATCAGAATCTTCAATTATTTTCTAAATCATTTTTATACAGCTATTTGGACACAAAACAGAACTTAGATTTGCTGCCTTCTCTAAACAATAGACCATTGGACATTTATAGCTATCTTTCGAAGATCACGTAACCTGGTGCAAAAATTGAATTGCCTTAAGCTACCTTGGCTGACCACATTTATCTTTGGACAGTCTTCAAGTAATTTGTCTTCTGTAAAGAAATGTGAAACACTAGCAGATCCTTAGACCATCTGCCACAGGGAAAATCTGCTTTTTTTTAAAAAAAAAAAAAATTATTAGAGAAGGTAGTTACACAGAACATGAAATAACTCAAGAACTCCACACATGGTAGATTCTTTAGAAAAAAGTTTGCCCTTTAAATCTTCAAATTTTTTTGAAATAACATTTCTTCTGTCTGTCTCATTACTTAAATAATCCTTTCAAAATCTAGTTCCTATAGCTACTTACATACCCTAATTTATATCAATGGATATTCTGTAACTCTTCGGATAATGAGATCTGTGTTAGGAGCCCCTTTTTACCCATGGAGATCTTGGCAAGTAACCAGTAAAATTCATTTCCTTAGGAAGCTTCCATTTTGTCTATTTTAATGCAGAGGTACACGTGTTTCCAGGAAACTGTAGGCATTCCAAGCATATATCAAGTACAGCTATCAATTCTCCTCAGTGAAAGAGAGAGAAATTAAGTATTTAATCTTTTAATTTTAAAGTAGAAGTTATTTAAAATATCACTAAAAATCCACAGAAATACAAAGCTAGCACACATACTGAAATGTTAATAAACAAATAAATAAATAGGAAGGTATCTCAAAGTTCTGGAGAGTTCAAAGGGAAGAAAGGGAAGAGTCTTGTGATCAGGAAGAGGAGCAATATCCTGTTGTCTAAGGACAAAACTGTCTGACTCTTGCAGATGTAGAGTTAATTTCAACCTTGCTTGGAGTCTTTAAAGTAAGTAACACAAAGATTTCAAAAGAAAGACAGACTGTCAGTCACAAAGCAAGATGTATTCTCTAAGTATAGAACCCTTTAAAAGAGAGCTGGAAGAGATAAACTTCATAAAAAGCTATGCATACTTCATCATAAATGCTCCCATTGATATCTGCTCCATAAATTGGTGCCACAAAAGTCAAGTTCTTCCAGTATTTACGTTCCAGATCTTCATAATCTACGTATCTTGGGGTGCAGTATCTGCAGAGGAAGAGGTAGGCAAAGGTTCAACATAGTCTTTAGCAACCACTTTCACAATGGACTATGCTTCTGATGCTGCAAACTGAATTCTAAGAGATCACTTTATTTCAAATTCACTGAAATAGAGGAATTATTAGTTTTCCTGAATTCTTAGTTTCATGATTCCCCATCACATGTAATATCCTAACTGACAGCTACATGGAAAAGCTACTTAATTTACAAGTATTTATTTTCCTGCCTCACTACTAGCTCTGCAAAGACGGAGAGGTAGGTCCTGCACAAGCCTCACTCAAAACAATTCAAATGTACTAATTCTGCCAAGTAGCAGCCCTGCAAGGCAAAAATAGTACTTTATTCTCTTTTTCCTTCCCCAGAAATACATTTTAAGAAAAGGCGTTAATGTTTCAAACAGTTGATACAAAAAATTCTACCACACAGTGGAAAAAAAAAAATTAAGGGATTTTTAATTTTTATTCCTTTAGTGCAGCACAGGGCACCACACTTTTATATGCATAAATATACTTTTGTATATACTTTTGGAAGGTTACTCAAACCTCATGTAAAATCTTGTGGGAACACAACACAAGCACACTACCACAGAAAACATCCGTCAGTAGCTTTTGCCTCAAGATCCTTTGTCAGGCCTCTGCTCTCCCATATTTAGGTCCTCAGAAAATAAAACTTGTCCCCCCATTACTGCAACTCTGAGAAGGAAAGTTTCACATTAGTACTGCAAACTTACTACAGTTGAACTACTGGACAGAAAACCCAAACATACAAGAATTAAGCGGACCAGGTACATTTACATCATGTGATAACATAGAACAGAGACAAACAAGTTAGCAAAACACATCTTAACCAAAGCATTCTCAGCAATGGAGTTGTTTCAATTATTTCTCATTATATGGCTCCAGAAATCAGACTGTATTTCTGCTTGGCACTGAGTAATATGTATATATAAACCCAGTGACCATAACACAAGTATATTGATTATGGGATGCAGATATGCCCATATTTCCCAGAGGTCAACATGGAGAAGCACCTTGGTTCACTGGTGAATTACAAATGACTAAACAAATAAAAGACACAGTGCATTAGACTGAGCACACACAATCAGATGAAAGCCAGCTGTGATTTAAATTAGGTGTTCATGGTCCTTCTCTCCTTCCCAAAGGAAATGGATAATACCACAATACTCAAGAGTCTTTAACAGAGAAGTCTTCTTCATTAAGGAACAGAATAATTTCTACAGGAGGACAGGGGCTCTCAGCTGGTTTAAGAAATACAGACTTTAATGTGTTAATTCATTAAGTGTGCCACAGGAGGTTATATGCACATTTTCTCAAGAGCAGTGATGAATATTTAGAAAGACCTACAGCAAGTAATAGATAAGAATCCCTCACAACTGTTCTTAACTTTACTGAGAAATGAAGTTGTAAACTGATTTCAGCAAAAAAAATGAAAACTCAAATCAGAAATACTTCCAAAATATCTTTCATGATAAAGAAAATAATAAACTTAACTAACATCACAATACATATGAAAACCTTCATAGCATTTTTGCATTATCAAAATATTTTAAGAAATTAGTGTTTCTCATTTTATCATGGGTTACTCAAATGTAAATTTTAAACATATATGAACAGGTATCACATAAAATGACATCACATATCATACAGGTTTTATATTTTAATCTCCCCTCTAACAGTTACTGGACAAATAATTTTAAGAACTACAAAACAGGTTCCCACTCCCACTTACCAGAGGAATAAAATTATAAGTGTGATAACCTCAGTGTTTCACAAGTAATATATGGGAAGAAACACACCAGTCCTTTTTAACTGAAACAAAGGAGATCAGCTTTGCACTTTTACAAAGGCACGGATATTATGCAACATTTGCTGAGGAGCCTTTTTAAAAGCTTTTCATGCCCTAGTTTTTCCTTATCTTGAGAACCGCTTCTCTTCTTACATTTTAATTTCTTAAATTAACTCATGAGAGAAACTTTCCTTCAAACTACGGCAGTGTTACCTTCCTTCATTATATTCAAATACCTTTTCTCTCTAGGATCCTTTGACTCACCTTCCAGAAACTATTTCCAGTCAGTTTTGAGGAAATACTGAAGTAGAATGTATTCTTTTTATGTAGCCAAAAGGAATGGGGAAGAATTATTTCTATCACTTCCTTCTTGGAATTGGCCACCAGTCTGAAACTTTTTAGTACAGTGCCTAGCCCTTCCATAGACTTTTTTCTCCCTCCCTTAATATCCATCTTGCCATAACCAGAACATAGACATTCACAAGGTGCAATTGAGTTCTCTTAGATTAATGCAAAAACTTCTGCACAAGTTAAAAAAAGATATTACAGTTTTTTTTCAGAATTACATGATGACAGGCCATTCCAGCATCTAGGCCAAAAAAAAAAAAATTTAACAAGTGTAGTCGAAATAAAACTCAGATATAAGTCTGTATCATCTTCTTTATTTCCAACATAAGCATTTGTTAGAACAAAAAGAAAAAAAAACGTAGCCCGAAACCATTGTGTTTCAAGTTTTTCAGATGCTTTCTTGCTGCCATGGTACCAGATGCTTTCAACTACAGAAACACAAATGATTCATATCATGGTACCCTTCTACAACTTAGGAGACAGTAAAACCTGTACTGAGTAAGTGAAAAAATCACCAGCTGCCTAGCACAACTCAAAGAAACCAGAATATGGGAACAAACAAATATTTGTCTTTCTAAGCAATATACATACTTGTCACTGTTGGCCAGCTGCCTGAACTCCTTCACTGTCATTGGCTTTTTCTGAATGTTGTACTGTGTGAAGAGCCCTGACTGGCCAGTGACCATCTGCTGAATTGGAGCAGGAATCACCAAATCTTCAATATCATTATAATGTTTTCTTGGCTTCCATTCCTTCGGCGGGATAACCTTTAAATTCAGAAATAAGAACAGAACATCAACAGTTGCAATACCAACTCAAAACATTCCAGAAAATCGAAAGAACCAGTCAAATATGCCCACATGATCAAATGAATGATTGCTTACCAGCTATTTCACAATAACTAACTGACCATCTACGTGCTCCTAGATAATGCAGAAAACGATTGAAAATGGGCATAGTATTACCTCAATTCACAAGCAGCAACTCACTAATCTACAGCAATTTAGTCATGTGCAGCTGTGCAAATATACACACGTATAATAACAGAATAAATATTTTATGATCAGAAAGCCTTATAATTCACAAGCACTTCATACTACCTGACATAAAATTGTTATTTTCAATTAAAAAAAAAAATACAAAAGATTGACCGTCCCCTGTCCAAATATTATCTGGAGTAAACAGAAAGAAGAATTTCATTTCTTAATGACAAATGAAAAACAAATGGCTATTTTAGAGAGCTCTACATTTTAAAGTCTGTGTAACTTACTCCCCATAGAAAAGCAGGGTAGGTACAACTCTATTACAGGAAGAGTTTCAACTAATTTAGATATACCTGGTTTTATATTAATATGATTTAAAACTTATCATTAAAGATTAAAGCTATGTGCAGATTAAATAATTGTAAAGTTAACACTTTTATTTCAAATACCACAGAATTGCCCAAAGCATATGAAAATTCCTCAGCAGATTCTAAAGTCTTAGCAATAAAGTCTTTAGGAATTTCGAAGAAGCCTGTAGTCATACCAGTGTTCTTTAAAAGGCTGTACAATGCTGAATATTCCTGAATAATTCCTTCCTGAATTTATCTGAAAACAGAAAACTCTCTATATTTGAAATTGCAACAGTTTTAAAATACAACAATAGACATTTTTAATATACATTTTTATTTTGGTTTTGAACTTTTACTTGCCCGAAGGCTCAGTTACGTGTTCTTTGATCCACTCTTTATATCGATTCTTTTCCATGGTGTTAAACCAAATTTTCACAAACATTGGCCTGGAAACTCTTAAAGTAACATAAAACAAAGTAAGACAGTTTTTATAAACATGCATCTACCATGTACAAATTATGTTACTTGAATCATTAATTCACATCTTAGAAGTAGCCTTGACATTAGGCTAGCTAGGCTGGTTCCTCTAACAAGCATTTCAGGATTCCACACAATACTGTCCATTAGAGATTTTGCTATTACATCACCTTGAGAAAGTAAAAAATTCTAAAAAAATAATTAAGACAGATACTGAGACCATCTGCTATCTTTGGAAAATAATCACAAATGGGCAAATTTTAATGCTGAAGTACTCAAACAGTCCACCCCTCAAAGGGATCTGATCAAGACCATTCAAGCTAGCAAGCACATATCAAAACAGAAGCACCAAGCGGAAGAAAAGTTATCAGATAGTCACATAATTCCATACCTAATGCTTTTATTTTAAACATAAACAGGCAATTTTATCCAATTTTTACACAGATGCAACTCCCTCCTTTTCCTTCTGAGCTTCCACAGCACTTCACTTGTATGGGGACTAGTTAGCAAGTTTCAACATTGTTTGCTTTTAGAGAAAAAAAATAATTGAATCATCTTGTGATTCCTACTTATTTCTTTCACACAATCTTAAATTATATGCACATTAACAAAATACAAAATGTTGGTTTGGAAGCAGAGAAGTCATGCCTTCAGAATATATGCACAGAAAACAAAAGATTTCCATTTTCAGTATTATTAAGCATGAACTTGTAGGTTTGGCTCAAATATATGAATACTGAAAAAGCAAAATTTGCATTATCTTACTTAATTCAAGGTCAGTGTGTTTTAAGCAATAAAAATATTTTTGTGAATACATGTTCAAAATATCCTCTTCCAGTTAACTGGAGCATTTTTATTATTGCTGTAATCAGAGTACTGCTTAGATAAGTGAATTCTGTGGGAACTGATATGCTAAGCATCATTTTAAAAGAAAAGAAAAATAGACTACCTGCCCCAAAGAATTTGCATTTTCTAACAAAGGTCAGGGCAAGGACTGGAGATGTTAAAATATCATGTCAACACATGGCTAGTCAGTATCAGAGTTAGAAATAATGATTAAGTCTGAGTTTTTACCACTGACCTGTCCCACTGAAGCCTCTTAACACTCCCTTTAGTAAAAATAACCCCTTCAAAGTCAGGCAAGTTAGGCTTATTCCATGGAAGCAATCGTGATAGAATTCATCAGCTGTTCAACGCTCAAATATAGAAAAGGAAAAACCTAAAGCAAAGCTTTCTTACGTATGTATATATATATGCATACATAAAAAAATATATATCAATATCGTGCTAGTGTTATGTAGCATGATATATATTCAGTTTTAGATACGGACATCTTCATTACACCACTGTCTCTTCTATGAAGGCTGGACATCAGTAAAACTGAGGTTATTTCAGAGTGCTATCAATGCACAAATTTCTGCCAAATTTTCTTTCATATACTTGTAATCTCCTGTTCTGCATTTGATTCTGAATGGCACTGGCTACTATTTCTATGTAGCTACTTCTGCCCCAGTTCTAATTAAAATGTTTTTCTTATACTTGCCAACATCTATTTTCAGTCCCATGCTCCAAAATTTCTTTTATACTTGTCAATGTGAATGCAAATTAATTTAACTATTTCACTACATAAATGCAGTTTCAGTCTCCAAAACACTTCTTACTCAAGTAAAGAACAACTAATCTATCAGTGTGCCTCATTTTCCAGTTGTTCGGTTGCTTTCATTCCTTGTTTTCCTTTTTAAATATAGGAACCTCTGCAACAGTAAGACTAAAATACATTATCTATGCCTAAAGCTCATTCCAGACTTTCAAAAATCTAATGGAAATTTTTTAGCCAATTTGCTCCAGAAATGCCACAGTATATTATCTGCTCTGGAAATGGTTTAATGTTGTTTGTCTAGTATCTTAATCATTTGTTTCAGGCATAATATTAGGAACTCTTTTTTTTAACATTTTATTCCTCACACTCCCCTCCCTCCCACAATATGTGCAAGCTTTATAGCCATTTTATCCTCATTTACATACACATATTCTTCCACACAGGGAAGAGGCCTTCTCCCTTTACACCTTCACATTTAACCTTAAGTGTTGGGTATGCCTAGTCTGTCTATGACCTCTGTTTAGAGGTTCCTGTTTCTGCTTATGCATATAGCTCCTCTGGTAGTCTTTTTTTCTCTTTGTGTTCATACTTGACTGTACATCCTAGACTTAATACAAATTAGGTCTTCTGTAAGTTCATTTGATATTACTATCAAAACTTATTTTATTCTTGTTATTTTAAATACAATTTCCAAAACTCAGAAAATATCCCTTGAACTTTTGCTGTATGAATTACTGACTTGGTAAGACAAAAATACTTAGTTGGTTTATTTTTTATATGTAAATATAATTTTTGAGGTGTATCAAAAAAAACAGTGAAAATCACAATACAAAAAGTCTCAAGACAACTGAGTAATATATAGCAACTAACCAACAGGCTGGAAACAGCTAGAGATGCTTTCACTGCTATTCTAGTATCAAGCAGAAGAAGGGGAAAGCAAACCTAATTGGTATGGCTAGAAGGGCCCTTCCTCTGTCACAGTACAAACAAAACATGACTAAAACAATTAATTATTTTTAAAAGGTTTTGTTGTGCTTTCTTACGTCACAGACATTATTCCAGGTGTTCTGTAAAGCCAGGTTAGCAGATATCCCATATGCATATAAAAACAGACACATTTTTTGTGCTCCTAGGACTATCACATTTTAACAACCTGTACATGGAGAAGAGCTTCCCAAATGGTTTTGAAATGTGATAAATGGAATGGGAATTAAATCCTAGGTATATGGCCAAAAAACAGAGACACACATGTTTTAAATCATATAAGCACAGGGATATTAACTTCAAACAAGCCAAATTATACTATGCAAAATCCTACAAATCCCTGACTACACGGCCAAATTCTGCCCTTATCGGATATGTTCAGCTTTAAAGACTTCAACAGAAACAGTATGAAGCTCCAAGTGCTATAAGAGAAGCTACAACCTCTGTAAATCAAATCTTTAATTATTTTTAAAATGCCACTGATTTCTAGTTTATCTTAATTGTATGTACGTGTACAATTTGAGAGGACAGCAATTTGTAGCCAAATTTTTCCATCACTAGTACCCGACAATGAGATCTAATAATCATCTCATCAAGAAATTATGTTAATAAGAGAGCCAGAAAACAATATAATTTCCTTTTTCGAAAAAAAAAATACAGTATAAATAGCTATAGTTTGATAATGGCAATAACTCTGTGGGATTTGTCCTTATGGAAGGAGCTCGTGATCTCATCAGGAAAAAAAGTCGTATTTCAATTTGTATTTAATTACATTTTTTAAACATAAAATTTTGCTTGAAAATTTAAAAATTAATACAGGTTAAACAGTGTTAGCTACGAATATGCACCCAAAATTTACTATCCACTTCTCTTACTAATCCTGAAAGCCATCATATCTCTTCAGTACTTTGATTGTCACTTAAATTACTAGAATAGACTCCCCATTCATTTTCAACTCAGTTATGGGATTCTAATCTAAATCTTGCAGCATTACACCATGGTGAAGAAGAAGAGACCATAGCCTAACCTCTGTTCTTCTGTTGTATGATCATGAGTTTGACTTTTGACTAGATTAGTGTTAAAGTACATTAAATACAATATATGCCTGCACCCATTCCACAGCCAACATCTGCATTTTACTCTTTAAAATAATAAAATACCTTGTAGATATCGTCGTTGCATCTAGAATTTTTTAAAAGCCAGTTTCACATATTCATGTGCCTAACCTAAAAAGATAACTACTATTACAACTTTGGCCCATTAAAATGTTCCTTTAAGGTGCTTCAACTTCAAAACAAAGTTTACAGAAAATAAAGTTCACATGCTAGCATTAAGTGCCACCCTTTCTAAAATTACAGCATTGGTATATTTTATTGATAGTATGTTATTTTTGCCTTTCAGGAACAAGTGACTATTCAGATCATACATGTTTCATACATGCAAGAATTAATCTCTTGCTTGCTTACTGCAGAAAATTACGTCCATCTAGAATCGAGAAAGGGGGGGGAGGGGAGGGAGGGAAGAGCAACAGTGGCAGTAAGAGTATGAAGGTGACAGCAATATTACAGAAATTTTAAATTACACAATAAAGGCAAAGCTGTTTCACATTCTTTTCTTTCACAGTCTTTCCTAATGTTACTACATCCATTGCTCTCCTCAGGACATCCTCAGTGTCTCTGCCCTTTTCCCCTACACTGGCTGCATGTGGAGGTTTAATTGCTAGCTGACAAGGAAGGAACTGGAACCAGTTGCTTCAACCCCTGACAGAGAAGAAGTAGCACAAAAAAAACTGATGAAGTGTAGCTGAAGCTCTTATTTATTTTGAATGTATCAGAAAAAAAAGAACAGAAGTTTGCAGAAGCTTTTTAAGGAATATAGCATCATGTTTGATGATACACCTCCTGAGAACAGTCAGAAGTAAATAGATATACAGCTTTTAAAGGAAAATTAAATATAAGGGGGGGGGGTGTATTTTTCAAATTAAGAAGCTTCTGATTTTTAATACTATTGAATGAAAAGATTAGTTGCAGTCTAGGACAGACATAGTAACAATAAAGGGTATGTCACAAATATACTTCTTTTTAAACAAAACTATTTCATTTTTTATTTCTTTTTCCCAAACATATTACACACTAATCCTGGCTCATATAACAGCTTCCTCATACAGCCATTTACGTATACCTGTCTGTTTCATACACAACATACCAGAGAAAGTGTCCTGGTTTCAGCTGAGACAGAGTTACCCATCTTCATAGTAGCTAGTCTGACACTACGTTTTGGATTTCTGCTGAGAAGGTGGCTGGTAACATACTGATGTTTATAGTCGCTGCCACGACAGTCAAGGATTTTTCAGTTTCTCTGCTGTGCCAGTGTCTGCAGGTGCAGGAGAAGCTGGGAGGGAGCACAGCCCCAATTACTAGCCTAGGATTTGACCTTAGGTTTCAGATTGAGACCCAAACTGGCCAGTAGTCTATTCTATACCATGCACCTCATGCTCAGTATATAGATGAGGGAGTTGTCTGGAAGTGCTAATTCCTCTCTCTCACCCCTCTCTCAGGGGTCTCTCGGATACTCAAGCTCTTACCTCTGTTCCAAGATTGGGGTTTTGGGACTCTCTCTGCTCCAAGATCATTAGCTAGGAATGGGCAGAGCCTTGGTCATTGGGTAGTGAGCAGCATCACTGTGTATCACTCATTTGTATATTTGTATATATTACTATTATTACCATCATTATTATTATTTTCAATATTGTTGTAGTAGTTTATTTATTAAACTGTTATCCCAACCATGAGTCTCTTTTCCCTTTACCCCTTTTATTCTCTCCCCATCCCTGGAAGTGGGGAAGGGGGAGGGTGAGTGAGCTCCTGGTGTTTGGCTGCCAGCTAGGGTAAAACTACAACAAAAAGCAAGCACATTATATATAAATAAACAAATTGAAATAGACGAAAATTAGTATCACCTCAGTGGCTGATCATAAGGCACTTTCTTTCGCTAGATTCCCATGAAACAGGATCAGAAACTACCAACAGCTGAAATAAATCTGTTTATATTAAAAATATGAAAAGAAGTATTTTTTTACTGTTGAGTCCATGTATGTAATCCACAGAATGACACATAACTATACTGTTCTGCTCACATACATGTTAAATCCATTGAGCAGCAGATGTCACTGATTAATTTCCTCTTAAGTTTACTGTTCAGGATGAGAGGACTGCAATAGTTCATCCCAGCACAAACAAATAGGTTCCATAATATGGTTGAATACGTAAAAAATTCAGTTCAGGCTATTTATCACATTTCTACTCCTGTCTGCAGAGAAGAGTTTGAAAATATGACCTATATGTACTCTACCCTCAGAAATCAGAAAGCAAATACACTACACGGTTTTCAAAGTGTGAGGGGTGCAGTTTTGCTTTGTTTTACAGGAAGAAGGGAGGAGAGAGTATGCAGGGAGAAACCAAGCATTGCAGGTTTTGTTTCTCTTCTCTCAATTTTTGAATGTCTTGACTTCGTAATATTAGCTTAAAAAGACAGTTATTCCCACTGACTACTTATAATAACTAAGCTAGACCTGAAATGTGTCCTGC